CTCCTCTATCTGTACGCGTTCTTGTAGGCTATGCGATGACACATCGCTCGCATCATGGCCTAGACTTGCTCAGTATCTACCTAGCCTAGGGTATTTAAATACTCCGGGCACATCAAAAATAACATTACATAAAGTTAGTATATATATTAATCTTTGATATTTTCATAATTTTTATATGAGAATGAGATATTTTCTATTTTTTTTGTATTTTACTAAAAAAGGGAAACGTTCAGAACATATCACCGCTAAGTTTTTTGAAGGTGGTAATTCCATATTCCGAATCGGGAAATTATTGGAGAACATCGCTCCAAAAACCTAACTTAAATTTGCGCTTAATACCACTAGCACAAAATGTGCACAGAATGTGATAAATTGATTGTACATTATTGAGGTCAATGCCTAGTTTTCTGCCTAATTTGCTATGAAATCAAGTTTAATTTTTTAAGTGCGAGGACAAATTTCTAGACCTAAATTTTTGTGTGATGGACTCCTGTGTGTTAATGAAGTGGTTCAGTTAACAGATACAGAATTTTTTTTTTTTGCAGTGGTACTCCGATGCTAGCACCGTCAGAAGATGTACTTGAGAGCCTGGAATACTATACAGATACTGCAGAACGACAGAGGTTGCCAAGTGGTCCAATTCATGAAATAATTGAATATAGTCTTCCAGGTTGGAAACCACAACTACTTAATTATAAGACAAGATTCAAAAACAAATCAACACATTTAAAATGACATAAAATAATATATCATCACATAATTAAATGCAGCACCTTGATAGTAGTGTGGATGAAATGCTTCTTTATTTCTTCAGTAAATACTCCACAACATACTTCTGTTAAAGTTTGTTCTCATTTTTCAACTACTTAAAATTTATATCTTAAATCTTATTTCTTATATTAATTCATTTGCATAAGAAAAAAAAAAGTAGCTATTTGTTAGTACAATTAGCCCTGCAATTTGAGACCATCATTGGGACCAGAAAATTTGGGGTCCAGTTGGTCTGCACATACAGTAGAGGGTTATCTTAGTGTTAACAAATTGACTGTTATTTGGTCCTTTAAAAAATGTGGTCTCAACTTAGAGGGGTCTCAGAATTATAGGGGTCTTGAAATTGGATGGTGCACTCTATTTTATTCTGTGCTTCATATAAAAGTGTTGGTGCATATTGATACAGTAACATTTAACCATTCTTTTATTGGTTTAGTATGGAGAACCACAGTTTTTTATGTTCTTTTTTATTGTATTTTTTACCTGTTTAAAATACATGTTTTTTAATGATTTGTTTTTAACCAAATTATATTAAATTCAATAGAACTTGAAGAGGAGATCCAGGAAGAGAAAGCAGAAGGAGATGCAGCAGAAATTAAAGATGGAGAACAAAAGGTATTGAGTTTTGGGGTTTCTTCCCCAGATCATGCAATATCAACATACAACCTTAACTAAGTATATTCACGAAAATGTTGTGTTCCTATACCATGAGCATGTTTTTTGGCAGATAATGGCAGTTGCAAATGTTCATATATTGTTGTTATTACTTCTGCCAAAGAGATTATGTATACACTGCTGTCTGTCTGTAAAAGCAAGATTACGCAAAAAGAAATGAATGGAAAATCATAAAATTTTCTGGAATGGTACATTCAGTTTTCGGAACAAAAGGTCAAAGGGCAAGTTCAAGGTCATGGAAGTGTTGTACCCTTGAGCATAAAAGAAAATAATGAAATTGCCCACACATTCAGGCAGCACTCACAATGTGCCCGCGTATGACGGGCGATTCCAATATTTTCTTGAGGATATTCTGGTGTATCATATGCTTCAGTTTCGCCTATTATACACAGCCTGCGTATTGTTGGCACTGTATTCAGGCACAGGGTGGAGGTATGCACTCTATGGAGTGAATGCTCTAGTAATGTTACTATTATTTTTATTATTATCATCATCATATATCATCATGTATGGATATGTTACAGTGATGATCTAATATTTCCTAAGCACTGTAGTGTTTGATATGATTGTCATGTGCCTTCCCTTTTTTTTCACCCAGGGTGATGGCCACTTGTAGAAATGAGCTAATTTCCCATATTGTTTTTGTCTGCCTTTTGGCTCATCTAGAGGGTGTCAGAAAATAACTGAGATCTTTGATGATTCCGTTTTCTTTTCTTTTTTTTTCTTATGTTTTTGTCAGATTGGCTTTTTCATTGTAGGTTCCTACAGTGTATTTTTGTTTTGTGTAGACTTATTTAGAAAAAATTTCAGAAAGAACGTTGATTTATTATTATTATTATTATAATAATAATTATTATTATTATTATTATTATTATTATTGATATTATTATTATTGTTATTATTATTTTTTATTATTCTTTTTATTAATATTATTATTATTATTATATTAGACTTCTTGTTGAACTCGGTTGGGGCCAGGAAGGAACCAGACATAGAAACAACAAATGCAGTAATGTGTTTCTATGGCCGTTTATTTCACGACAAGTAATCAATAACAATTTGCCCCAAACTGGGCCTAATATGGGGGAAAACAAAACACCCCAATAACTACATACTAATCAATAATTAAGTAGGTAGAGTAAACAGGGGTGGAGGTGGGATAAATTTAACCAAAAGTTCAGAGAGACTCACCTCTTGTCTGAACTGGCGCCATATTAATTGTCAAAGAGCGTCTCGTAGCTAGTATACACTCTCTAACCGAAAGGCATGACCTCTGACCTGAACCATATTACTCCGCCTGTACAGATAGGCGTGAGGCATCTGCGCTAATATAATATTAATTAAATCTAATTCATTTAATGACTTATTATTATTATATTTTAAAAATCAAGGGATGTTCACAGCAACACATTTTTGTGTGTATTGAGATATAATCTCTAATATTGTTGAGCAGGTCACAATTGTTGCTTCTTTTTGCTAGTTTTAACATTGAGACTACTTCCCAATTGTTTTCAGACTGAAGAGGGAAGTCTTCAAGGTGCAATAGATGACCCATTCCAACCATCTACCAGTGATTCAACAGCAACAGCTGATGACACTGTCAAAGAAGAAGATGGAGAGAATGCAGTATCTAAGGAGGAGTCGAAGGAGAGAGAGCGAACAGCTTCCGTATTATCTGAATGTGACGCAGAAGACGGTATGTTAAGAATTGTTTAGTTGGTTTCAGATATTGTACATAGAAGGCAGGCATACTGCTATATGTTATTATTATTATTACAGTATTATTATTATTATTATTATTATTATTATTATTTTTATTGTTATTATTATTATTATTATTATTACTATTATTATTATTTTTTAATTTAGTACTAATTTGCTTGATATGTTAAGAATGTTTTTGACAGATGCTGTAGGGAACAAACCCACCCTCCTTGACCATAATATTACACAAAAGTTGGTGTATGGGCTTTTTGAACAAAACATAAAAGTAACTGTAGTGGTATTAAACTGATCACAATGGTGGCCTTAGTGACAGAAAAAATGGAACTTTCCGCTAAGCCCCACCTCATGAATCTTGTTGCTAAGGTCCCCACAAAACAACCTGTCTCTTATACACATCTAGATGTGTATAAGAGACAGCAGTTGAACTATATATATACAGTTGAACTTGCCTAAGTCAAACCCAAAATGCCATTGAAATATTGTTCGACTTGGATAAATTGCGACTTACAGATTGTTAAATAATGGAATACACAACAATTTGCCATGTAAAATTAGATCGACTTAGAAATTATCTGACTTAGGCAAGATTAACTGTATATTCTGCAAATGTGCACATTTTAAAATGCATTAGCTAAAAACAATTTTAAAAAAATAATTAAAAAAAATAAAAATACTTAATTATTTAAAAAAATTAAATACTTAATTATAATTAATTTTATTAATAAAACAGTGTTTGAATGTGGAATAACTGTTGAAGAAAATATCAATATTGCATATGAAAATAAAAAATAAATATATGCATGTGTTTGTAGGACAAGCACGTATTCCTGGCTCTGTTCTGATTTGTTCGTTGTTAAGTTTAATTGACATTCCTGACAGCAACATTCTTAATTGGCCATAATTTTAATATTTTTTTAGGTTTATGCTTAGGAGGCCATCCCCAGGGTTGATCAATTATTGTTGTGAAGTCTGGTATTCAGTGGATCGTCACTACATAAATCCTTATGAACATTCTCTATACTTGTATGTTCACTAAACATACTTTTTGTGAGCATTTTATATCGTTAATATTTTTCATGTTGATTCACTTCCTTTGACATAAAGTTGATTTTACAGGTTTTGTTTTTTTGGTTTCTAGAATTAAACAACAAAGAATGGCAACAACAGAAAAAACACGTCTTTGTTTTAAGTGAAGCTGGCAAACCTATATATACTAGGTATGGTATATTTTTTATATTATGTTTATTATAGAGGGTAATGTAATGTTGGATTTATATAAGACTTTATACCAAAATCTCAAAGCGTTCGAGGTGTGGACTAGCTCATACAATAACTTGCTTCTCCCCTTAAGGTCTCTTTGTGTCTGAGCTGCCCGGAAATCAAAAAGCGGTACCAGCTTTCTCTCGTTTATCCACAAGAGGGGCTGCATGCACCAATACACCGTGGTAATCCCCCTAGTCGTCTCAATAGATGTACTGGGTTCTCTATAGATGCACATGAGCTAAATTGTGTACACTGGGCCTACAGTTTATAGTCCTTATCATAGAAAACTTGTTTCCCCATCAGAACCATAGACGAGCATGCCGTTGGAACCAGCGCGGATATTATGACACTACATTACGCCCGCCACACCTGCCTTCTTCACTGCTCGGCCATTCAACTCACTCATGAGACTTAGCTTATCCTAGAAAGTAAGCTAATACTCAGGGGCCCTCAGTTGATGCTTTCAAATGATTTAAAATAATAACATGAGTCATGTATTAGTGATGCAATTAGACATCCTGTAATTGTGATAAAGGACAGACAGACTTTGGACAGACTTTGAATTCTCGTGACTAATGTCTTTTTTTTGCACTGAACGTGATGTTAATTATGACGATAAAGATGAAATATGATTGGGATGATGATAGGAAAATGGCACAATTTATATTTCTTTTTTTCATTTACATTCAATCTATGAGCATTAGGCTCCATGCCAAACTTTAGGAAAAGTTTATTATTGTTCTTAGTGGTTCTCTGGATTTTAATATTGGTTGCCATTTCGTTTTATATTATTTTCTCTATGTTACTAAATTTACCTACAGGCATGGAAGTGAGGATAAACAAGTGACGTTAATGGGAGTAATGCAAGCCCTGGTGTCTTTTATTAGTGTTTCAAAGAATACATTAAGGTGAGCAGAATGTTATATCTTTCCAAGTGTTCTAGTTTAAATAAATATGATAGGATTGTTCAATCAAATTTTGAATAGTATAGTTATAATTACCTCCATCAAAGGAGGTTATACATTCATCCCTGTCTGTGTGTCTGTTATAGCAAGAAAAAAAATGGAATTATTTATTATGCACAGTCTGTGTGAAATTGATTGATATTCAGACACAGGGTGGAAAATAATGAATTGCCCGTCATACACAGCCTGCGTATTGTTCTACATTCAGGCACAGGGGTGGAGGTATGCATTATATGAAGTCACTGCTCTAGTTCCCTCATGTAGTTCAATGATTTGCCCATTAAATCATTAAATTGAGAGGTTTGACTGTATTTTCCATTTAGGAAACTATTTCTCTGAATTAATACTGAATTGTCCGATAGTGTCTGAATTTATAGTAGAATATTTTAAATTGTGTTTCTTTGTTTACAAGGTTAATAGTTGCAGGAGACCATAAGTTTGTGTTTATGGTTCGATCACCATTACTACTAGTTGCAGTAGCAAATTCTAAAGAGTCTCACCAGCAGGTAAATTTTTATTTGTGTTTGTTTGGTGAACATTGCTTTTTTGGGAATTTGTAAACATAATTCTCCACTCGCATTGCAGTTCATATATGTTGCCTGATATAGTGAATAATTAAAGGAGTTTCAGTGCAGGCTAAAGGCAATTTTTGAATGCACTAAGAGCTTCAAAGTTCACTAACTTTCCAAATAGTATATGCATGGTAAACAGCTTTACTAACTGCTTTATAAGCCAATTAATTTTGTTAATAAAGCAGATGTCTTCAATAGCCATCACATTGACTTGGGTCAGCGATCTCATCACTTGGTCGAACTGGCTTACGGTCAGTAAATTCATAGTATGGAATTAGGTAGGAAACTTGCATTGCAATTTAATGTTGCCCCATAATTATGATCGTGGGTGAGGTTATTGTTTTTACGTGTGTTCTTCATATTGTTGTCGTTGGGAAATTGTTTGTTACCACCATAACTAAAGTTTGGTATGTTCAATTGGTTTCAAACTTAACAGAATGCAAGATGGAGCCTTTTGGTTTTTTTTTTCTATTTGTTTAGTGGGCAAAATAATTACACAGATTTTGGTAAATAGCCAGCAACTGTTTTTAGTTCCTATGCATGTAATGCAATAGGAACTTTTGTATTCACTTTTTAGTATGTGTGTGTATGTAGGCATCTTCAGGAAAAGTTTTCCAACATTTTGTTTTCCTGACAGTGACATGCCTAATAATACCAGTGTTCTCCCCAGGGCATTAAGCTGTAATGGCCCCGTTACAGCTTCATTCAGCAAACAAGATTACCGTTACAGCTTCATTCAGAAATAAGTTTACCGTTACAGTTTAAATTTACCAATACACTTTGTATTATTACTCGTAAATGTTCAGTTTATCATTTGTTTATACACAGGCTCTACATATACAATTTCAAAATAGAAGGGAAATGCACTCTATCTTTCCTTAAATTTGACATTAACAAACGATAAACTGTAAGTTTTTAGGTGTTCTATTTGTAAATAAACATCAACAACTTCGGACACTCTCAAGCCTAGGCAGTGAAAGTTGGCCCTCATCCAAAAAAACAAAAAACAATCATGCATCACTGGCACTAGGTGAAAGGTCGAACATGTGGCATTCTCTCCTTTTGCATAATTTTTTTTTAAAACTTGCTTTCTAATTTGTCTAGAACTAAATTATTATGTCTATGTTGTAATAAATAAATTTCTACACAATAAAATGATTATTAATTGTCTTATTCTTTTAATGAATTATTATTAACGTATTAGTAGTACATGCAAGTTTGCTATGTCAAAAAGGCTCATCACACTCTGCCACACATGTTTGGCTGTTGTATCTCTCAGTTTGTTGCCATGGTAACCAAATGGCACGCTTCTGATAAGGTATCTCATTGGTGGTTTGAGCAGAGTTTGAGATCGTTTCAAGGGATACCTAGGCCAAGTGTGTTATCTGTCAAAGTTATTTTTTTGGTACAGTAGCCTATAACTTAAAAGGACAGAATATGAACTATAACAAAATAAACACATACACAACTTTTTAAAAAAAATTATTTTTTTAAGCCAATAATTAATTCTACTCAAAAATTTTAATTCCAAAAATCAGCACATTTATGTTCTTTAAAATACAAGTCACAGTGTCAGTTGCATATACTTTGCTATGTGAATACCATTTTATTAATTATTATTACAATTTTAAAAATAAAATACCTTAAAAAAGTTAAAAGTACAGTAATTTCCTCTGGCTTGGGATGATGTGAGGCCCTATACATTTTTCTACTAGTTTATCACCCTATCTAGGCTGGAAAAGTGATGAGGGAGGGAGGCTGGCTCTATTTTATATATATATATTATTTTGCTAAAGCCAAATATCACCCTTGGGTTGTTTGCTGGTGCATTGATATTCAAGGTAAATATGACTGAGATAGTACAAACAATATACTAACTAGTCAATTAAATTTTTTTTCCCAGTACAATAGAATACATGCATGTGAGGGTAATAAACTAATGATTTTTTAATTGGGCCTGATAATTAATTTTATTGCTCTAAAGCAGGATTAATACAACTGCGGCACCGTGGAATATTATGCACCGGACGAGGTGTCGCCGCGCGTTTTCCCATTACACCTTAAAAAAATCCTGGGGAGAACACTGATGTACCCTTGGATTTAGTTTATTAAATAGCCATCCATCACTTTATTCCTGCTGCACTCAATCTTGACAGACTGGTCTACCTTGCCCTTGTGGAAAATATCAAGGTGTCATTAACATACTAGTTCAAACAGTACTAACATAACAAAGTATTGTGTTTATTGATACTGCATTTAGTAAATAATAATTTTCAAATAAAACCAAATATTGTTATATTACTGTAATTTTATTTTTTATTTTTTACATTTAAGTCGTCACTTAAATATGATTACCTAAGAATTTACTATGTAAACATCATGTAATTCTACTTTAACACTGGCTAAACACAGATGACCTTATGGCATCACTCTCTAGGGAAACCTAAATCAAATTAAATAGCTTGAAATATAATTGTATATAACAAGATGGTGGACACCCTAATTTACACATAACAAAATACAGTTAAAATACTTGATATAAATATAATCAAATACATATTGATACATTTGATAACATTGTTTGGCAAACAATTAATCAATGCAAAAACCTAATTCATAAACTATGATTTAGTATGATCACAACATTAGAGTGAATATACTATAATTGAATAGTAATTGAGCTTTGAGGCTTCAGTTTATATTCTAATACTAAGCAAAATGTAAATTGTTTATTAAAATTATTAAATGCACTTAAAACAATGTAATAATCAAATACTTAATCCAAAGTAAATTGGCATATGACTCTGAAGCCAACTCTTAAAATACAACATTAACTTAAATTTATAAATGAAGTAAAATTAACATAAAATAAGATAGTTTAACATACTCTTGTTGCTGTTGAATACGTATCTCGTTCAGCCGTATCTTTAGACACAGTACTACCACGGTTACAAATACAAGACATGAACATTTATATGTATATTTTCATTTATATGTAGTTTACTACGAACGGTAATAAGAGAAATTTATCCTGTAATGTTTTATTTGGATTCCCTTTGACAATTATAAAGTATAAAACAATATTGGTTGATAATATTAACCAACTAGACTTAGAATTTTCGCGAAAAAGAGACCGTGGTCAAGCTACAGATATTATTGCTATCAACAGGTGGTAAGCTAATTAATCAGTGGGGTAGCTTGACGTTCCTTCAGATGAGAGCCTTCCTAATCCGGTCATTTGTTGGTGTTAGCTTGCAGGTTGAAGCGCATGTTTTCTATCGGGTGATCTCGTTCATACTGTTGGTGTCAACCTCATAACAAGCACTTGTTCAACAACTACGACAGGGCTTGATTTAGTACTAGCCCGGCGTACAATGTCTAGTAAAAACCGCTCCGGGCTAGCCTATTCACTCCTCATGTTGCCCGGTTGTCTAGTGGAGAATTAGCAAGAAAGACATTTTCTTTAAAAAAAAAAAATTTAAAAAAGCGGAACGTGAGTGTTTAATTATTAAGATGATCCCCAAGTCATTCACCAACCACTACAGGATGGCATGTTACCTCTTTCTCTCAATTGAAGATCGTTTGATCGTTCAATCTGGTTAATTTAGGTAGTTTAATGTAATTTAATTTAATGTACTACCTTATATTCATATTATTTTCTCATAATGATATTTTTAAAATGTTCACCTTTTAATAATAAGTACTTCAATGCTATAGGTAGGCTAGGCTAGCCTAGGTCCTAGGTCTTGTCTAGGCCTAGGTAGCCTAGCCGTAGCCTAAGCAAGATTTATTGCCATTGGAGACCTAAAGATTTAACAGATGCATTGGTTTGATTGATATCTGGGCCCTTTGTTAAATATTAGAAAGCCAAATTATAACCAGGGAGATGTAAAACATGCTCATCTGTCCCTGTTATAACCACAGTCGATTTTGCATCATGGGTGATTTTTTTTATTTATTTATTCAACAATATTTTGAGAGGGTAGCTCAAACAGCAATGCTACAGAAATTATGAAATTGCAAATCAACCTTCAAATTTAATTGTCGCTAATAAATATTTTGAAACAAAATTTATCCTGTCTGTGGGCTAGTAAAATATTCTGTGGGCTAGTAAAATCTCTAGTAAACTAGCCCAGTGGGCTAGTTACCAAAAAAAGTTAGGGCAAGCCCTGCTACGATATCACCGTTAGTAACTTACACCATCGGAACAAAGCTTCTCTAATTCTTAGTTATCAGGGGGAATGTCTAATAAAACTTTTTTAGGGTAAATGTGCATATCCCCGTCCCATTGGTATTCAGTGTTAAAGTACAAGGTAGTATTTTCAGATTAATATAGTTAATTACATTTATCGGCCGAATTAATATCATTTCACTACAATAATAGTAAGTATATTTATTTGAGCACAATTATTTTGGTCGTCCACTGCAACATTCTTCAATGTGAACTGAACATACAACTGATCTCTTGCACCTTAATTAGCATAACAAATAGACATTTAATAAGTAGTTAGCCTAAATTACTATTAACACGTTAGCTGCCAGGCCACGAGTATCCTCGCCCACAGGGTGTTGGGTGGGGTGGAGCGCCAGGGACGAGTACACTCGTCAAAATCGGTAACATTCCCAACGTTTATAACTTCTTTTTTATACAGAACCACAGACTCAACCTTAAAAAAACATTCAAACATTAACGTTAAAATTTATGCAGCTCACATTTCTATAAAGTACATCAGCGGCGCTTTACATGAATAATTTTATTTTTTGTTGTTTTTTGTTTTTTTTTAAAATTAATTCTCATAACATTGCTGAAAGTAAATGTCTTCAGCTTTCTTTGTAGTCAATCAAAAGTCAAATTTCATTGTGCAAATTGTTCTAAATTTTGGGTTCTGCCACAGAAGACGAATGGTCTGCAAATTTTTTAGAAATAGAGAAAA